CAATATACAAAGGGGAGCTCGGAGATTACGATCTTTCATTCGTTCGCTCGTTCCAATTATTTTGTCCAATTAAAATATCGATTTTCTCCCCCATCGCCGCGACTCTCGCGAATTCGCCTTTCGCAGTCTCCCTCTCCCTTCCTCCTCCCCTTTCCGCCCGCACGCCCTTTCCTCCCGTGCTACCCTCCATACGGTAGCATCGACCGTGCCCAACCCTGTGATTCTTCCTCTTCTCACCCTCATCCATCCTGTTATACAACCACCGCTTTCTCTCCATCATCGCTCTTCTCTCTATTTTTCCTTCCTCTCTATTGCTTTCTCTCTTTCTCCTTCTTTGCTTCCTCTCTTCTTTCCATTTCTTTCTCCCTCTGTCTCCACCTACACCATTTCGGCTCCAATATTCAATTATTGGCTACGTAAACGTTTGCGAATCGCTCGCAAAAAGCGGGAAACAAAGTCGCTTACGGTTTCTGCGTGCATGCGAACGGGCGTGTGTTTTACTGTCCTGGGGTCTGACTATGCCGCCAAGAAAAGAGAAACAGAGAAACAAAGAGAGAAAGAAAAAGGGAGAGAGAGAGAGAGAGAAAGGGTGAGTTGGATAGGAGGGTGAGACGGCGTGTTTCCTGGCAGAAATCTGAAACAAACGAGCAGTGTTCCGTCCGTCGTGGCTTTCCGTGCAAATGCGATCGTGAGCTAGGTTCGCGGAATGGGCACAGTATTCGCTGTGACACGCAATGCTTCAAAGAGTCCAATCGCGAGTCAAAGATACTTAAATGCGACAAGCGCAGAATGCATACCCGCAAACAACCAAATCGCGGGGGTTACGAAAGATGCGATCTTCCCGCTCGATACTAAAATCTATAAAGAAGGAGAATGGCTTGTGATTGCATTTATCAAACAATTTTTGTATCTCGATTATTGCACGTAATATTTTTAATTAGAATGAGATAATTACCCATCAATACGATAATGCGAAATATACTCTCTTAAATTAATTAATGTATTGGAATTAATGTATTGTCACTGATAAGCAGTAATTTCAATTACAAATATAACATTGCAATCTCACTGAAAAAATCAATTAATAATATTGGCTAATTTTAGTGATAGTGAAATTTTATTATCATAATCAGTGAAATAAAACGCAGGAAAATGTATTTTTTACAGAAAATCAGTGAATTCACTGATTTTCGAAATTTTGATCGACTTAATTTCAGAGAGTATGTAAGAAAGAAGTTCTTATGAAAAATATTTTCCTTGTGCATAATATTAAAAAGTTTCAAAAATATATTCGAATATAGATTAACTGAAATTAGATTGTTTAATGAGTACAAATTCGTTAAACATTTTTTATTATGCACAATAATCTTACTATTAATCTTACAAATTGTCATTTCCAAAAATAAGAAATACTGCCTTCTTTAAAGCCCACATATATTGGCTACAGATTTTTTTCCAACCTGCTCGATATATATCATCGAAGTATAAGTGGCGCATCAACGGCAAAAAGCGCAAGAGCGCGCTCCCATGACCAGATTTTTTTTTCCCCCGAAGAGAAATTAACCCTCTAAACGGCTATTAGAGCCGAGCGATGAGCGTGCGCGTTCTCTCTGAGAATAGACAATCTAATTCCGTGGACGAGAGGAAGCGAGGAACGAGCTGATGGAGCAAAGCGAAGCGAGGAAGACGGACCACCGTGATTGCAATTTTAACGCCAATTTGACTTGAATCTTTTCTGCCCGAAAGAAATACTGTTTTCATGCTCAATATAGCGGCTCGCTAATAATTAACAGCCAGCTCATGGCACTTTACACGTATAGGGTGTCTCGATATCACAAAATCCGTGACTATTGCAAGTTTCTCGATTCTATTTATGTTGAATATTATTGAGGCAATTCAAATTTTATAGCGTATTTAGATATTATTATATACAATATTATTTACATTAATTAAATTTAAAAATGAGCTAAATTTAATCTTATATTATACATTTTCCTAAAGATTGTTTGTAATGATTATTAATTATTAGAGATATAAAAGTATAAATAATATCAAAACGATTCAAGTGCTTAAAATATTATGAAAAAATGAATGAATTGAATTATATAAAATGGAATATAAATAAATTCATTGTTTCCTCTATAAATATTGACACAACATGGACTCACAAAAATTGTAATTTCCTACATTAACGTGTAAAAAAATTAAAGAGATCAATTGCTTTCAATATTGCACTAAATTTTATAATTTGTTAAAGAGAGATTATTATATTTCTTCGAAAAGTTTACGAGAATACATTCAAATGACTGTATTGATTTGATACACAAGAGTTTGTTTACGGAAACTGACGAACATTCAAGCAAAACTCTGCGATACACCGAGTACGTGTACCGAGTACGTCTTACGGTGCTAGCGGGTGGTCCTCATTATGTCGGGTTCCCCACTGCTTACCCGTCCTATCTATTTAACGTATCGTTTGCCTTGGTAACCATCCAAATTAGCTCATCCTTCTCTATCCCGCGGCAACGGCATCTTTCCCGACCTCAGTGTCTTGTCCTCTTTAATTATTGAAAGGACGATGCTTAATAACGACGATCCGACCGTCACGGTGTGCTCTAATCGAAAACACTCGTTTCCTGTGAAAAATCATATCAAAATGGCGAACCACATGGTAGTCGATTTATTTAAGAGAATAATTATATTATTAGATAATCGTATATATATTTTTAATATTATTGAAGGGATTTCAAACAACTTTGACAAAATCGATATAATTTTTCTAAATTTAATTCAAACATTTTCTGAAACGATATACACATAAATTCGAGAAATTTTGAATATCCTAATACTTTAATGAACACGATTATTTAAAAAAAATCTGTTTAGAAGAACGCAGTTATACAATCTTGCCAATTGAACACAAATTTATCTTGAGAGCGGAATGGATATGCTCACAAAAGCGAATTTAAAAGTCAATGGTCTGTAAACATTAATGTCTCGAATGTAACGAAAGATAGCGAAAAATTCTTTGTTACGAGAGTTTATGAACCTCTTTATTGCCATCGTGATTTCTTCTCGATTACCGACTCTGCAGTTAGCATAATATCGCGTTGTTAAAAGTCGGACGGTTTAGCTACAGGAAAAATTAATCGCGACGGCGAATCGTCTTCCGATGTATATTTCGTTATATATAATACAAATCTGTGATGATATCAATCGTCAAATTAATTTTTCAGAAAAATAGTTGACATGTAAAAATCGACTCAACAATATGTGTCTATTTCGATTTTAGGTATTCAATTTCATTAGACGTCTTATGTCTTAATCCGCGAGAGACAATCATGTATAAGCTTTGCTACATATCTTTTAGATTTTTTATTCGTTATTAATAAACTTCATCTGCATCTTCATCAAATGGACAAACAAACAGACCCTTGTCTAACAGGGAGTTGCAATAATGTAACGATACGAACTTATCTCACACTGGTAAGCGATATGTTTTTGAGGTTTGACATCGATTCTCTCTGATAAAACGGTGAAAATAGACACCGTGCGGATTTCCGCACGATGAAATTTACGACTCCAGCCAATTCCGCGAAAATGGAAGAACGTCCGCGAGGTTTTATTCGGCGGTGCAGCGTTATATCGGCACCCCTATCGGGACTCATTTGTTTTTGCTTATCACGAAGTTACGTGACGGAGTCACCGTAAATATGACGGACGGGTGTGCGACGATGGAATCTCCGTCAGAACAAACGAGCACCACCGGACGAACCCCGAAAATCTCCCGACATGCCGCGATGCGACGGCTCGATTTAGGGGCTGAACATCGAGAGGGAAGTCTCGAGACTGAGAGGGGTTGACGTTCGACTACGAATCGATATACCTACCTATCTACCTGCATGCGCGAACAAACCGTATCTTCCGGACTGAACCGGGAAGAGATAACCGAAATTTCAGAATTCTCATATTTTCACGTCTCGTATATGCGTTGCGATCATGAATCCTTTCAACCGTTATATAATATATCGTGTGTTTCTCAAACGTGATTAATAGTGATATAATAATTATATTATACACTGAAATATTGTAATTCATCAAAATTATTTGGCTTATTAACGTAATGTACGTTAAATTAAAAAAGCAATATAATGATAGCTTTAATTTTTACCGAATTTAATAATAACGTATTTAATTATTATTTAAATTATAATTTATACAATTAAAATTAAATCGTAAAAAAATGGTTAACGATTTCTTATTACTGTTTTCTTTTCTTGAAAAGTTCTGTTTTCTATAACTTTTTTTATTATTCATTTTGCATTATCCTCGTAACTAGCTTCCTCATCAAATCTTTATTAAGAAAAAAAGTGACTTGTCAACATATTTATCATTAAAGAAATAATGCAATAAACATATAGAAATATTTGCTCTCGAATGCTTGAACATCGACATTTCTCGTTGACTAATCCAAACATTATCTCTTTGCCTTATCGTTTAATATGCGCAATGACAATTGAAAACTATCTCATCCGCACTCTTAATTTTTTTTTTTAATCTTAATCACCCCGCCTAATTGCTCAATTGCACTCATTACCGTCTCCGACGTAGTAAAGCAAGTGGCGATTAAATCTCTTCTTCCCCGTCGCGCTCCCCTCACCCTCTTTCCGCGTTCTCCCCCGCTCCGTGACGACGCGTCGCATTTGCACGAGAGAAACTTATCCCTCTCGGCACAAAAATCGCTGTATAGATAATTCCTCCTGTTCCTGGGTCCCCAGCTACGGGGCGGAGCATCGCGAGGAATGCCCCTGTTGCTAGTTTCCAGCCCCGTTGGCAGTTCCCAGCCCCGTTTTGAACCTCTCCTTCTCGTTCTATCACCCGGATTTCCCACTCTAGCGAGAGATCTCTCTTGTTCCGATGTGCGTTCAGCCCCACCACGAACACTCGGTCGGAGGCAAAAGGAAAAATCAGGGCGGTGCTGGCAGAGCGGTCAGACTCAGTCCACACGGAGAGCTCGGCTTGACTGGAGGCTATCGGAGCTGACGGTCCACGAACATTGATCCATGATAGCTGTCAAACGTCGGATCCTTGTGAACGATGTGTCTCGCGCGCGTCGTTTTCCGGAGCTGATCATTGAACAACAAATAATTTACGAGTTCGTGAAAGATTATGCGCGAATCAGTGAAGAGTGCTTTAAAAAGCAGTGAAGCACGCCGAGCTGTTTAGTCTATCGTGGAATGAGCGGATAAACTCTTATTCAGACTCCAAATATCGGGACATTGTTGTTGCGAATTTGAGTAGTGCTAATCGGCGCAGAACGTGCCCGATCGACGTTCGAGAATGACAGTAATAAGGATGACCTCGCCGGTGACGCCTGGATCGACCAGTCCGGATTCATCAAATGAGGCTCAGGCGCTGCAAGCGACCTCAAAACCGGCTCATCGATTGAGTTTTTCTGTCGCGGCCCTGCTGGCGGAGGATACTAGGAAGACGTCGGAATCTCCGTCGAAGCAGGATGCTCTCTTAATGTCATCACCGGTTGTCTCGTATTTGTCGACTCGACAGGAACCTCGTGTCACCATCAGCTCTTCGGTACCGAAGCATCTTTGCGACTTGAAAACATCAAGATATACCTCGTCATCGTCGCCCAGTAATCAGGAAATTAGATTGAGCCATTGCGTCTCTCCTCACAATGCTTCGGACTCGGGGACACCTCCAAGATATCCCGAAGTGATCGATTTCGCTTGCAGTATCGAATCACCTAGTAGACGATCGACTTCTGGTAGCGTAGATTATCGAATGCGTCAGTCTACTGACATTAGAACCAGCCCGGAACCCGTGGTAGGCTGTTCCTCGTCTCCAAAAATCATCAGCAATCATCAGGATGCTGGTTCGCAATCACCTACGAGCAGTTCTCACGGTGAAATTCACTCGAGGTGTTCAGAGACGGACGACATCGAGGAGGACGATGAGAGTAGACTAGTGGACGTCGAGGATCTTCAGCATCATCCGTCCAGTCCAACTCCCGTTAGACCAACTCCAGCCTATCTTGGCGGTTTCTCCACTCTCAGTGGTATACCTGGGATTCCGCCTAATTTTCACCCTGCAGTCTGGGGCGGCGGACATCAGAATGCAGCTGCAGCTGCGGCGGCTGCAGCAGCCGCAGCTACCGCCACGTTCTTCCCTTCTCACTTTTCTCATCATGCTCCTTTAAACGGTGAGACCCAGTCTTTATTTTCATATATTTTTTAAGCATTATTTTCCTTTTAAACGTCAACTAAATTTTATTTTTTATTACCTTAAACGTTCAACTAGATTTTATTTTTTATTACTTTAATTTTAATATATGTTAGTGAAATATATATTAAGATAAAAAGATGACATTTATGAGAGAGAATTTCCTTTTATATTCTTATTGTTAGTAATAGTTCCTCGAAGTAGAATCATTAATTTTCTATCATTCTAGCGTTAATTTTACAAGGTGCGACGACAACTATGTTTGAAATAGTTTTTAATCTTTGGCAGAGCGCCAATTTCCCTTGTATTTCTCGGCAGATTCTTTTCATGGTTCATTGCGGCTAAAGCGATTACGTGGTTACAGGCGCGGTTTATGGACTCGCTGCTATAGAATCCAGACAGCTTTACTCTTTATCGATACGTAATATCGAACGTGATGATATTCTGAAAACATAACTAGCAAAAGAATATCCCGCGATAATAATCAAACAAATGTACTTTCTGTTTACTATTTTACAATTCGATTTAACAGCTTTTAATAACGAAATAATTATCTATTTTTAATTTTTAAATTATGGGGTTTATAAGTTAATTAACGCCAATCGATACACACATCCTATTTTTTACGGATTGTGAATAAACGATATTATACCTTCAGTGTTAATTAGCTAAGCAATTTACGAATTACAAAAGACGATCGTTAAAAAAGCAATTTGCATCATCATTTTATTTTGTCAGAGTCCACTAGAGGGGCAGGAGTGAATTTAACTACGTTTTGTTCGTGGATTCTCTAACAAACAATGGGTGATTATCGCAGAAAAATGTCCCGAGACAAATCGAGTAATCGACGAACGAAAATTGATTCTCCAATGGCTACTTTGGCCGCTATTAAACGATAGCCTACCGTCGCTCGACCGAACCGAACAATTCTCGTGTGTACTTGCTTCATCAGTGACTTGCGAAAGAGATAATTTATATAATTATTATGAATATTATTTATACATATGAATATGAAGAATTTATGAATAAAATATTTACTAATATTATTGCATAGTAAAACTTATTTGATTTTCTTTAAATATTTAATCATACATACTGCTGAATTTAATTAACTACTTTGTATTTTTAATTCATTTATTATATTTTGTAATTATTATATTTGTAATTAATTCATTCATTATAGTTATAATTTATTATATTCATATTTTATAATATTGTTTTAAATGTTTCCTTTTAATGTAAAACTTTTTAGACTTATAAATAATTTTTAATATAACGATTGCACGAATTTTATCTTATGAAAACTTTGATTACAGCAGTAGTCTGCATTATTATTGCATAAAAAAATTGAAAATAATTAAAACAAATAATATATAGCAGTTATAAAATAATAATTTTGACAAGGATAGCTCAGCTTCTCTATTGCTGACATAAAAAATTCCAGAAGAGATCTCGTATAGAATATACGCGCCATACGGGCAAAATGCCATAATTCTGAAATATGAACTCTCGTAGAGCGTACTTTCACAGATCGGCGCACCCCTTCAAAGTTTTATACCACCGCTTCTTTTACCGTGATTATCCTAAATAAGTGATTTCGCCGTAAGAGAATTTACTGATACACACAAGTAAAGTAAAGGTAGTTTTATATCTTCAAGTGTTCAAATGTAGAGAAAGAAAAATAAAATAAATATATATATATATATATATATATATATATATATATGAGTGTGTGCGTGCGTACGTGCGTGCGCGCGTGTGTGTGTGTGTGTATACATATACATATGCATATGTATATTGTATTAAAAATTATATTAGTATTATATATATAACATAGTGATAAAAACAAATTAATGATTTTAATCCATTTCTTTTTGCTCCATTTTTGAAAACATCTGAAATTAAAATTTCTTTTCTCGAGAAACGCGAGCTACCGAATATATCCAAATGCAGAGATCAGATACGATTTTATCGAGAATGTTTGTCCTTTCGATCGTTATGCAACGTAACAAAAGGCATTCGATCCGTCCTTTCCATTTTGCACTCCGTCCGATGATCGTTGCATTCGTGGAACACGATATCTCGGCGGAATCAGCTAATTATTTCGAATGCACATTCCCGATCGGTAGTCCCGGATTGAAATCAGGCCCTACGTTTTTGGTGGCCCCTGCGACGCGGAGAGATCACCGAATGCCGAGACTAATTGGAACCCTTAGTGAGCGGTGAGGAACGTATACAAAGGACAATTCCCGAAGGAGGATCGGGCATGGCGCATACTATCGTGTTGTAAGGCCAAGTTGATGTGTAGAAAATCCTGGAAGAGTGAGAGGGAGGAACGAGAAGAACAGGGCGAGGAGAGATGAGTGAAGAGCGGTTTCGACGAATTTGAAATTCAGAAACGGCAACTGCCAAGACGAGGACGACGTGGCCTTTTGTTTCGTCGGAATCTGACTCGTTGTTTGATACAGAAGCTGTACCTCCGCTCTACAAATCTGTCAATTGTCTCGAGACAAATCTCAAGGAATATAACCGATATATTCCGATACCGGACTTCTCTCTCTCTCTCTCTCTCTCTGTGTTTCTTTCTGCCTTACGGTGGCTCGACACGACCCTCGATTATCTGGTTGTAACAGAGGCAAAAAGATATTCGCTTAAGGATATTCTCTCTGTATTTATTTTTAACTATGTAGATATTTAAATATATACAATATGTATACAAATAATATTTTCTCGTCAACTATATTTTATAAAATATAAATTAACCATTATTTCGCATTTTACTGAAAAGCAATTAGATAGTATTATAAATCATTAAAGAGGGGCGCAATATTCTTTGCACTTTTTACATTTATTTCTTCACACATGCTACACAAGATTAATACAGAAACTTTTTACCTCATATTGAAACCTCAGAATTTTTTCACATTTTTATGCCTTAATCAAACTTAAGCATCTCAAGAAGACGCTTCTTCGCCTTGATTCACCTAATGTTAATGTTTCAAATTTGACAAACTAATATTAATAAAATCTACAGAAAGATTAGTATACTTATGTTGAACACGAAATTGCGCGATAATCACGGCTAACAAAATAACGCTTACTATCGACGAGAAGCGTATTCTCTCTCTCTATAGCGCGCAATTAACCGACGCGACACGATGGTGCGGCATAATGTCTTTTTCTAAACGAGCAAGTCAAGAGAATACCAAGCTCACCAACGACGCCTTCCCTCGCGCGAGCAGGCGTTACGATCGGCGCTCTTATGCGAGCGCGGTAGCCGCGGCCGAGCTGTGTAGAAACAATTCGCGGCCGGAATTTTGCGGTCGGCCGGCAAAAAAGTAATGAGACCAGTTTGCGGCGCCGTTCCGACGGAAAAATTATGAATTGCGCCCTAAAAAGATGCGTTTGCCCTCGCCGGGCTATTCGAGTCCGTTCGAGGCCGACAAAAACGGGACATTGCGGTCTCCCGGCCCTTTCCTCCGTTGGCCTACCTATCCCGCGAAACACCTTCTCGCGGGAGGACTATCTGTGTCCGTCAGTTTGTTCATACGAGCATAATGCTCGTCGCTGTTCCCGCTGCACAACATGCACTTCGACTGAAAGCGTGTTTCTTTTTTTTCCCGCTTCCAGAGAACGGCGAGCCGGCTAAGATTAAGTGCAACCTGAGGAAGCACAAGCCTAACCGAAAGCCCAGAACGCCCTTCACGACACAGCAGTTATTGGCCCTCGAGAAGAAGTTCAGAGAGAGGCAGTACTTGAGTGTCGCCGAGAGGGCAGAGTTCTCGTCGTCGTTGCATCTCACGGAGACACAGGTAAAAATCGATCTCGTATCAAAGAGTATAATTTGTAAATTAATAGTTGGGAATGTGGCTCAAATAAATCAATCAAAATTAAATCAAAACTGGCATAAGAGCCACAGCGCGATAGTTGGGTCTGCGCTCTTATGCTAATTTTTCTTTAATTTTAAGTATTTAATTTGTATAACGAATAATATCAAATTTGGCACGCATCAAATTATCCTTAATTATTAATTATTAATGTTTGCTGCGTATAATTTTTAAATTTGCATAGAGATATAAATATTAAAATGAAATACAGAATAATGATGATTTATTTATCACATCAAAGATCACTTATCAAGTGATTTTTCTAATCTTACATTCTTCGTGTACGATTACACAACTTTATACATATATCTCTTAGCATTAATTAGCGAGTAGGTTATTAACTCGTTCAACTTGTCGGTATTTATTTTACAACCATCTTAAATTTAAAAAGGTGGTTTGTCGAACCATAGCCGCAGGAATATTTAATCGAGGATTGTAAATTCCTCGCTTGTTACGCAATCAAATTAGTACATTTAGTATCCGGTCCTCACCGCAGGAATCATAATTTCTTCGAAGCAGCAGAGATGACCGATCTCGTGCGGTTAGGACCTCAAACTGGTAGCAACGCACTCCATATCTTTCGCCACTTTTATTTCGTCGGGGCTTGGGGCCATTCACGAGTCAAAACAATTCGCGCGTGTCTTTCAAGACTTAGTTATGGCCGCGCGGCGTCCTGCCAGATGCGCGGTAATTAGCGCACGTAAATGCGCGCTATCCGAGCTGTCTCGGTGCAAAGAGAGGATGGTAATTTTATTAATAGACTACAAATTGCCTGAAACACGCGCGTTTCGCGATAGCACGCGATGACCGAGCAATTATCTCCGGCTGAGATCCCGATTCTCTGGCAGCGATTTCCGAAACGCATTTCGCGTACCTTAACGCGTGCGTACGAACGGCAAACGCGAATCGACCCCGCTTCGTAACGATCCGACAACAACGGCATCGATTATTCGATTAAGATAGACGGCGATAAAATTACGGCGAGGGATAGAACGGGCCGTTTATAGTCGCAGATGTACGCGTCACCACGATATTATCGCGGATTATTTTTGTCAGTTCTTCTTTTCATGGCATCATCGAGATGTTGTTTGCCAAAATTATATATGTCCGAAAGTGACATTTAGATGAAATTTAATGTGCTCTCCTCCGATTTATCTTAGAGACTCCTCGGTGCCGCGAATACGCGAGCAAATATGAATTTCAACGACATAATTATATGATGCCATAAAACTGACACACTTTATTTTCATTTCGAATTAATGTAAATTTTTTGTGTCGGTATATTTATAGTCGATATTAACATCGGCATGTAATTAGTAAAGACCATGATATTCTACGATAAATGTTACAGACTCAAACTAATTTTAGCTTATAAACTTAACTGCTTGGAAACCCCGAATCGATGTAAATCATTTACATCCCGAATGATTACTAAATCTTGCCGGAACATTCGTGAACACGAATAACCATATCTCGCATTAGTCATCGCGTCGAAACTCATCACCCCAAATACACCGCTATAAATTTCAATTGATTTATTGTTGCAGGTGAAGATCTGGTTTCAGAACCGACGTGCTAAAGCGAAACGTTTGCAAGAAGCGGAAATCGAGAAACTGAGGATGTCAGCCGTAAGGCAGCATCATACGGCGCTCTACGGCTCACATCCAGGACTCTTAACTTCTGCGGGGCTTTACCCCGTAGGAATGCTGTCTCATCCCGGCTTAACACCTCATCACGCGATCACCCAGCATCCCGCGAGAGAATGAGAGTTGGAATGTATGAACAATGCCGGTCAGAAAAACAGGTGGATTAACTTGTCATCGAATAGCTTGTGGAATGATTTCGGATTATGCAAACAAAGCAGGTTTAAAACTCATGTGATGGTTAAACATTACAACATTACGATGGAAAACATTTTTTTTGTAATGATAATCGTCGTAAAACGACTTCGAAGAGAAAAATCTCACGTAATAGGCTTCACGTTTTCCAGTATTAATTCAAAAAAGGCATCCATTGAAAAATTTGTACTTGAATTCTGTGCCAATATTGATTGAGATTGTTTTGAACAAGTTAGAAACTGTTGTAAATAGAATTGTAAATACTACCGATCGCGTTAATCGCTTTGTATATAAATATCCTACTGGACTATTCGAGAAATGGGATTACATTTACATCGTACAGTGCAAATATTGAAACGAATGAAGCTCGATACTTCGGAAGAAGATTCTTTTTCCAATTTTGTATAAATGTAAAGTAAACATACGATGAATAGAAGAGTTTATTTAATAAATTGTATTATCATAACTAGCAGAGTTTATTCCTTCCATTACCTAAGATTCCTTATTTTTCGTTTAAAAAAGACATAAAATTTATATGAATTAGAAATATAAATAAACTTAATTTCACAAATTAATATATTATGTACCTATATATATACTATAATACATATTTCTCGTAGAAATTGAATTAAATTTTTTCACTATATATAATTCATAAGTGCTGGAATATTTTAATAACATTCGCTTAATGAAATGAATAAGTTTCTATATTAAAATATGTGATATTAAAATAAAATATTTTGTAAAATTTTTAAATATATAAGTCTTAATAATAGATTTTTATAATTTTCAATAATTTTAATTTTCGATATTAAATATAACTCCATATAATCTTTTATTAATAATTCATTAATATTTTATAAAATCTTTCATTTTTATCAAGTTTTTATGAAGCTTTCATCAACGGGAAAATCGGTAGTGAAACATCGTGCGTATAATTGTGCGACGGAACCTATCTATCTCGTTCAGCTGCAGACAATAATTTACCGAGCTACAATACTGAAGCCAGCTGAGAGGGAGAATGCATCCATGCCTATGTCTAAGTTTGAGCACCTACCGGGATCGTCCCGGCGTACGACGGCGATTACGCGAATGCGATTACGCAGTATCCGAGAATGGCGTCTCTGTGCGTATATGTCGTTGGGATAAATTAGCCGTGGCAATTAGTTTCGGAATCAACTTCGCCGGGTGGTTGGCGCCACCATCTTGATTGCGCTCGAGGAAGAACCTTTAAAGACAGTAGCCAGCACTGTTTGCCGAAAGGTCCGCGTCGTTCGCGCGGGCTAATTAGCGATGCCCACCGAGATATCGCCGACGTACGCTAATAATACCGAACATAAATATTCCGAATTTTTTCGTCTGGTGGCCCGTCTGTGCCCTCTCCTCTCTTTCCCTTGTAACCGCTTTTCATTCGCCCGAACAGTCGCCCGCGATATATCATTTTTGCATTAGTTAATTATACCTTTGTTTCCTGCCGGCAACTTTTTTGGAATATTCGTGGATAAAACGATTTACAAGATCAGATCTGTAAGACGTGTAAGATTAATAAATAAATAATAAGATTAATAAATAAAAATTCTAGAGAAAGATTTATGAGCCTAAAAGTATAAATATAAAAAGATACAAGACTAAAATATAGTAATATTGCTTTAAACAACAAACAACTATTATGGAAAATTTCAGCGAAGAAATTTGTGAGAAAAATAGAAGTTCTAGAATATTAAACGTTTACATCATTATAATTGCATGAGAGAGAATTGCAAATAATTGGTACATTATTTACATTGAAACTGCACTACGATTATCAACAGCTCATTTATTCAAAATTTTATCTTTCTCGAGCTTTATAAATATGTTTATACAAACACGCATATAGATTTATAAAAAAAACGTATAATCAATTTTATCTTATCTTCCTCTTATGCAACGAAAATTAAATCTTTATAAGAATATATCATCTGCTACTTATAACACAAGATTAAACTAGTATTCACCAATTAATTTTCTAATACTGGATTAAAATTAACGCACGATATGTGATAATAAAATCTTTCTAGAAGTAAAAATAGACTTTACTGGTGAAACTGCTTGTTAGAGATTTCCTCATAAAACTACAAGATAGACTAAACGACCTTTTTAATTAAAGTTGCTCTATCTAAGTTGTCACAAGTTACGCCTATTGGAATATTTTTCAGAAGTAGATGGTACGTGTCTGAATTTTAATTATGCAATTAGTCGACAATCATTACTACCTGTTTCAACTACTTCAGAAAAATCAGATAATATCAGATTGTATCAGCAAGCTACCGTATTATTGATTAGACGTTATTAAAAACTTTAGACGTAGGTCGTTTACATATTTAACTAATTTACTATTTCTTGAATCAAAGGAAAGCATAAAATTGGTGTTATATATTTAAAATTACGTTTTATATGATAGAATAATTATTGCACTTTGAATTAAAAATCATATTCGCTATTTTATAAAATATATGTATTTAGAAATACTTTCAACATTAATAATATTAAATGTATATAAAATAAAATGGAAACATTGTGTATATCGCAAATTCTTATTAGACTCATTAAAATAGTAAATGTTATTAATCTTATATCTAACTTTTACGATAAACATTCTTGATATCGATTTTAAATTGCTATAATGTATAGAAAATATATCTTTTGCATTAACTACATATTGCATGACAAATTTCAAATTATATTTTTGCTGCAATAACTAGATAAAAGGTTATCACTTGACACACTTTTATTTAATATTTAATATTTTATATTTTATATCTCTCTCAGCAAAAAAGTTTCAGTTTTAAAAATTAAATCTCAATTATAATAATAATAATAATTGCGTGAGACATTTGATGTATTCGATATAAATGCAATGCTCCATTTGCTATTATAGTTGAAATGCAGCTTGATTGTATTATATTTATAAACCATTCAAAATGTATAATGCAATTTCTCACGGAATCGATTAATAAGACGAATATTTTGCAAATAGCAAAGATGGTCTTATATTTTTTATGCGCATTTCATTTCCATGACGCCTATTTACGATCTTAATAGAGTCTAAGTTCAATCGAATGTCGGGTCAAGATCTTTGCGTGATTGACTTTAAAATGGATATTGACTCACTTTGAATATCTTGCATGTGATTTAAGTTTCATGAGTTGTTAGTTTCTATCATACATTTCCCACGAGTCTTTGTTAATGATGAGTAAATACTTTTCGATGACATTTAATAACTGTACTTTAATAAGTATTTTTAATTAAATTTTTCGAATCTCTCAATAAACCTCTCATTCTAAAAGATCTTCAATAAACTTCTATTCTGAAACCATATATGGCGCAAGTCATATGTGTATGATAAATGTAGCGATCAAAGCGTATGTGTCACTATTCTTTGAAAATTTACAAACTGTAATTAACAATCATTGTTATGACTAAGGCTTTAATCCTGAAAAAGATAGTATATAAGCAATTTAATAGACGTTGCATCACGTACTTTGTAATAAATTAATGTTGATATGGCACAAATTATTCTCTATAATTGATAATTATATTTGCAATACGCACAGTGAAGTGATTGCAATAACATTATATGTAAACTATTTAATCGACTATAAGATTTGCGCAATATCTGTCAGTATATTGAGATGCCAATTACGTAGCACTTAATTATATCAAAAATATCATTTACCACGTGCTTTTATACATCTTGACCTGATGATATGTAACTGCGCATTACACGTGCATGAAAAATGTTATATATATACATTATCAATCCGGATATGGAACTGACCCAGAGGACTAAATGATTAAAGAATCTAAGTTTATTTTACGATTTTTGATATACATATTTATTCAATTACAGATTATGTGACAAATTTCGAATTGATTCTTTTAGCTCAATTTTTATCGAAAATTATCATTTAGGATAATTCTTAAATTAAAGCATTGATCTAATAAAAAAACTTATTACTAAAAAATAAAAGTTTGAAATTAAATGATTTGAATATCTTTAACTTACAGCAAACGTCTCTAATTTTCTTTATTAAATATTTAATAATTAATTAATCTTTTAAATTTAGGCCAAAACAAGAACAAAAAATTATACAGTCGATTACAGTGCAAAGAATTTATGGAAGAAACGTAGTTTTAAGATCTTTTTTGTATTATTACATCGCTTTAAATGTATCAAAAAAAATACTCTTACTTCGTTATTAACAGACGTTAAATAACAGACGTTGATTGCCGCGAATATGTAATCGCAATCGCGATCCATCAATATTGCCGCGCTATGATGCCGCTTTTATCGCATAGGGAGTTCATTTAAATGCGTACTACCCACTTACGTAACACTAAATAAATCGCCGTTGTCGACTGTTAATTATAATGATTTAATTAGCGTACCTTTCCGTAGAAAGCCAATCGTGTCTATTGCTGCGAATCGGTTCGTGTTTTTCGATTCAATTATCGGCATTACGGCGCGATCAAAATTATCTGTTGTCGAATTAATGCGCACCTCCCGCTTTACGGAGAAGGCGACGCGAAGGGGGCGGAGTGAGCTTTAATGAGCGATTAACCCGGCGTTACGCAACAAAATTAATTATCTGCCGATAAATGCCTTCCACAGGAGGGTGTATTAATGATCGCGATAAACCCGCGTGGCAGAAAACACGCGACGGTACAGATTGCAGATTATTTCAGGCCGCTAAACAAACGGGCCCGCGAGCATTAGATTGACGCATAATCGCTTCATAATGCCCAATAGACTCAAAATGCGGAAGTAGATAAGCGAAACATATTACGCTCCTAAAAAATCGATAAGTGGATTGGAGATTTTCCAGAATATAATTTACAATATTCTTTTTAGTACCATACTATAATTTTCCAGTTTCCAAATTTATTGTGTAAATGTGACTGATTTATTTCAAAAAAAACATCTCAAATTGGTATTATTTTAATATAAACAATTTAAAAAAGTATAAATATAGGCATATATATATATATATATATATATATATATATATATAGAAAAATTTCTGCTTCAGAAATCTATTATGTATTAATAAATGCGTAATTATGTCTGTGTATATATATATATATATATATATATATATATATATATATATACACAGACATAATTACGCATTTATTAATACATAATAGATTTCTGAAGCAGAAATTTTTCTTGAATGCAAAAATAAGGTTTCGTATAAATATGTTACGTAATAATGTTGTCAGCTATTATGAAGATATGATAATCCCGCGCCACAAAAACCGTGATATATCTATAATATGAAATCACCAAATCGCGTAATTAACTTTTCAGTTGTGTAACAAATCATACAGTACAATAAACGCGAAAATAAATGTAATTTAACAATAAATAAAAAAGTGTCGATGATTTATTTTATAAAGATAATTTT